TGCTCTCAGGTTCTGGTCTGATCTCGACAGCAGCTATGTAGCAAAGTCGGAAGTTGGTGCAGTTAGTCGCGAGATCTCTTCTCTTGTCTGTTGTCAGTTAGTCGCAGGATCTCTATTCCTATTTTGAATCGGGACATATTTTAATAAGTGATTAGAGATCTATATTTTTATTTTTTTTCCGTTCTGATCCGGCAGGCGTTTCAGCTTGCGTCTTTTCGTTAGCGTCATCTGAGGTCTCAAGTATTTAGGAGCTGGCCACGGTTTTTTTCTCTCCCTCTACCTTTCTTTTTCTTTTTTTTTTCTTGTTCGGAATCCAAAGATTTTTTTCCTCATCAGTATTGGAGATTTTGCTCCTCATTTTGTTGTTGTTGTTGTTGTTGTTGCGTAGTTGAAGGTTCGGTTCCTAGTGCCTGCCTGCTGTTTATTGTCCACATGAGTGTATGTGTGTGTGTGGGTGTGTGTGTGTGTGTGTGTGTGTGTGTGTGTGAGTGAGTGCATTTTTGTTTGTGTTTGTCTTTTTCTTTACTTACACGTGTGTGTGTGTGTTTATGGATAAATATTTTTGTGTGTGAGTGTGTGAGAGATTGTGTGAATGAACCAAGACAGTATTGTCTCTCAGTATTTTCTTTACACTAATGTCTCTCCCATAGTGCCAACTATCCGCGTCGTCTTCCCCTTGTCTCGCCGAGACTTTTTCCCTCGTCTGTGGCAAAAACTGTACATAAAATCTTCCTGGAAAATCCCTATTGATTTGCTTAGTATTACCTCGTATGTGCCAAAATTGTTTGAATATTTCTGCCTTGCTTACTGGCATCTCTGTATTATTGACTGCCCCATCCGCTCTGCCAAAATGTTTTATTCCTCTCTTTTTTCTCTTTTTTTTTCTCTTCTTTTTAAATTTTCGGAGACTTTCACCCGCAGTTGGAAGTTATAATGATATATATAAATATAAGTATACGTCAGATTTGGACTTGAAAGTTTACTGGCTTCTTTCCTACTTTAAAGGTTAAATCAAACCATGTCAAATTCACCCGAAAAAAAAGTATGGCTTTAAAATGTGGTTTGTGTGATCTATTTTATGTTCAAATCCAAAATTCCAGCCTCTTTATTAATACAACCTTTAAGTGTTGATAGGGGCATTAAAACCTTTACCATTTCAAACCAGAGTTTTTTCAACCGTTGACTGATTGTCATATCATGTTCAGACTAAAGAGAAACTTTTTTTGTGGTAGTTTCAACGGACGACCAACTGCAGCTTTTTATGAGGAGTGAAAATAAAGTGTTCTGGGGTTTTACAGGATGTCTTTTTTGTCTTGACAAAAATTCGGGTATAATATGATGAGACGAGACATGATCAGTTTTATCGTTCCTCTAGGGGAAATTTATTTTGGGTGGGATTTCTCCGTTTAAGTTGGGGGGTTTTGTCCCACTCTTTCGTCATTGGATTTAAGTTTTGTAAATTCCGCTTGTAAATTTATTATTCAATCCTAGTAGAGTCATCATCCTTGCCTTCCTTTATCCATTCTCTTCATTATTATCATTGTCATCATTCTACTGGTTTGTTTTGGGTTTTTTTTCTCTTTATCTTCATTATTATCATTGCCGTTGTCCGTGGCGATGACGGGCTAAGAAAGACCACCGTGTTGTGTTCCTTCAGTGATTATTCTCTCTGCGTGCCAAACTCTGTACAGCTGACCCGCCAAAGACTGTTTAATACTCACTCTCTGTTGTCGTTACTTTTGTGTTGTTGTTGTTATTGTTGTTTTCCCGCCGCTCACACTTTTGTCACATTTTCTCCTTTGTTTTACCTCCCTCTTTCCTTCTCTCCTTCCCTCCCTCTCAACGTGGGGAGGGAATGCCATCTTGACTATCATTTTCCTTCTTTCTTTTTTTTTACCTCATTTACAAATTTAAATACTGATTTTGATTTTTTTGGGCTTAATTTACCTATTTGAAAAACTAGAATATCTTTCTGTTAACTATAAAGAAAATGAAGGTAACTCTTTTGAGAATCAAAGTGGATTGTTTACCCCCCCCAAAAAGGGGAGGGGGAAGAAAAAGAACCTAATTTTTTATTTCAGAGAGCCTTCAGACATTGTTATGTTCAATTTTGGGTTGGGATTTTTAAAAGATTCTTTGGTTGTTGTTGGGGGGTTTTTTTTCCTTTTTTCTTTCTCTTTTTAAAAATTTTGCTCTGGCTATCATTGCTGCCCCCTTTCTCTCTCCCTATGTGTGTGTGTGTGTGTGTGACATCTCCTTGTGGTGTGAGCTACATCAGTATTATATAATTAACGTGTTGTTTTTCCTGCAGGTTTGCCAACTGTCCCAAATTTCCCGGAATGATCCCGGATTCGGCTATTGGGGGAAATTTTAAGAGTACATAAACTACGTTATGCGGAAACTACAGCCATTTTGTTATGATTTGCTGTAGTTTAAAATTGACGTATACTGATGTCATAACGCTGGGTGTCCCTGTAAGTTTATTCAGTATTAAAAGGCCATTGGCCCACATCACATCAAATAAACCACTCATTTGTTCTACAAAGTTTCCTTAATGGAAAAAGTACGGTTTTGCGTGGGTCAAACATTGCATATTTCTGTACACTGGGCCAAGTCAGGCTGGGAAGAATTAGATCTAGCATTTCTTTTCGGGGTGGATGTCCCTGAATGGGTTTGGAAAAAGTTGGCAAGCCTACACCTTTTGTGTGTGTGCGTGCGTGCGTGTATGTCTGTATTCGTGTGGCTGCGCGTGTGCAGGTGTGTGTGTGCGTGTACGCGCACATGTGCGTATGTGTGCGCTCACGCGTGTATGACATGTTTGTATTTGTGTGAACCACATCAGTATTATGTTGTTGTTGTTGCTGTACCTGGTATTATTACTCGTCATTATGTCGTTGCTGCCATGACCCGGGCCCCTCGTGGCTCGGGACGTCTTTACCGATCAGTATTAACCGACAGCGGGTCGTTTACGAAGAGGGGGGGGCAAGAGTTGTAGGCTACAGCTCAGGAGTGTGTGGCGACGGTGGGGTTTTGGTCAAAGTAAAGTAGAAAGCTCCCGCACTGATATGCATGTGGCTACATGCAAACAGACACACATGCATATATGTAGACACATACACACACAGGCACAGACACAAACACTCAAACATACACACTCACATCCACACAAACACACACACACACACATGCCCGACACAAACACACGCATGCACGACACAAATACACACACAAACACACACACACATGATGCACAAACATTCACATGCACACACAGATACACCCACATACACATGATGAACAGACAAACACACACTCACACACACACACACACACACTCACACACACACACACTCACACACACACACTCCACACACACACCCACACACACACACACACTTTATATACTTAACTTTGACGAAAGCCTCCCCCGCTGTCTGTGCACCCAGAGATGTGCTCATTTTGTCCCTTCTGTACGACCTGCTGTCTCATGATCTCGTCTTCCACCGAGTGTGTCAGACAGTATGTCTCAGAGTGTGTCAGTTGGTGTGTATTATAGAGTGTGTAACACAGTGTGTCAGTTCGTGTGTATTATAGAGTGTGTGACAGAGTGTGTAACACAGTGTGTCAGTTGGTGTGTAACAGAGTGTGTCAGTTGGTGTGTAACACAGTGTGTCAGAGAGTTGTGTGTTACGGAGTGTGTCAGATAATGTGTCTCAGAGTGTGTCACAGAGTGTGTCAGTTGGTGTGTAAGAACAGAGTGTGTTAAAGAATGTGTAACAGAGTGAGAAACAGTGTGTTAGAGAGGTCGTTGTGAGTGGATGTGAATATACAGATGTGTGTGTGTGTGTGTGTGTGTGAATGCATGTGTACTTGCGTGATGTATGTGTGTGCCTATGGCAAGTGTATATGTGTGTGTACATGTGACCATTTTGTTGTATATATATACATATTATATCTGTTTG